ACGCACAAACTGTGTTATACAATAACATGCAGGTTACACACTATATTATACAATAGTGCCCGATATACATATTATATTATACCATAATGCACGGTATACACACTATATTATACAATAGTGCCCGATATACATATTATATTATACCATAGTGCACAGTATACACACTATATTATACAATAGTGCCCGATATACATACTATATTATACCATAATGCATGGTATACATACTATATTATACCATAGTGCACAGTATGCACACTATATTATACAATAGTGCCCGATATACACACTATATTATACCATAGTGCACGGTATACATACTATATTATACAATAGTGCCCGATATACATACTATATTATACCATAGTGCACGGTATACATACTATATTATACAATAGTGCCCGATATACATACTATATTATACAATAGTGCATGGTATACATACTATAATATACAATAGTGCCCGATATACATACTATATTATACCATAGTGCACGGTATACATACTATATTATACAATAGTGCCCGATATACATATTATATTATACATTAGTGCACAGTATACACTATGTTATACAATAACGCACAAACTGTGTTATACAATAACACGCAGTATACACACTATATTATACAATAGTGCCCGATATACATATTATATTATACCATAGTGCACGGTATACATACTATATTATACAATAGTGCCCGATATACATACTATATTATACCATAGTGCACGGTATACATACTATATTATACAATAGTGCCCGATATACATACTATATTATACAATAGTGCACGGTATACATACTATATTATACAATAGTGCCCGATATACATACTATATTATACCATAGTGCACGGTATACATACTATATTATACAATAGTGCCCGATATACATACTATATTATACCATAGTGCATGGTATACATACTATATTATACAATAGTGCACGGTATACATACTATATTATACAATAGTGCCCGATATACATACTATATTATACAATAGTGCACGGTATACATACTATATTATACAATAGTGCCCGATATACATACTATATTATACAATAGTGCACAGTATACACACTATATTATACAATAGTGCCCGATATACATACTATATTATACAATAGTGCACAGTATACACACTATATTATACAATAGTGCCTGATATACATACTATATTATACAATAGTGCCCGATATACATACTATATTATATCATAGTGCATGGTATACATACTATATTATACAATAGTGCCCGATATACATACTATATTATACCATAGTGCATGGTATACATACTATATTATACAATAGTGCCCGATATACATATTATATTATACCATAGTGCACGGTATACATATTATATTATACAATAGTGCCCGATATACATACTATATTATACCATAGTGCACAGTATACACACTATATTATACCATAGTGCCCGATATACATACTATATTATACCATAGTGCACGGTATACATATTATATTATACAATAGTGCCCGATATACATACTATATTATACCATAGTGCACAGTATACATACTATATTATACCATAGTGCCCGATATACATACTATATTATACCATAGTGCACGGTATACATATTATATTATACAATAGTGCCCGATATACATACTATATTATACCATAGTGCACAGTATACATACTATATTATACCATAGTGCACGGTATACATACTATATTATACCATAGTGCACAGTATACACACTATATTATACCATAGTGCACGGTATACATACTATATTATACCATAGTGCACAGTATACATACTATATTATACCATAGTGCACGGTATACATATTATATTATACAATAGTGCCCGATAGACATTGGAGAATGTCTCTGCAGAGATTAACAGGCTGCATGGGCCAATTTGGCATTGGGAGATGAAGGGTCCTCATGTTCCACTGAAGATCTTTCCTTCGATCCCAGTGCACTGCAACCCTCTTGAAATCTATGCTGGCTGAGCTCCGGGCAAACATCGCCACCGATATAGCCAGCTTTCAGGCCTCGTTTGATGAAGCAAACACAAGACTTACCCAACTGGAAGCCATTACCACCGCTACTGACACCAGGCTAATTTTGGTGGAGCGGAAATTAGAGGAACTCTAACAGCAACATCTCCTTACCACTGAAAGAGTAGAGGCTATGGAAGAAATGCAGAGATGCTATAATGGGAAAATTAGAGGAATACCAGAGACTGTGGGCCTTTCTGACCAACCACGCTTTATTTGACGACTATTAGCAGCAGTGTTACAATTTAAGCAAGCCAAATTAATTAAGCTGGATGGCATGTTCCGCATACCGAAATCAGCAACCGCACCGGCCTCAGCAGCCTCCAACCTCAAGTTCCAGTCACTCCAGGACAAGGACAAAACCCCGATCCACTCTAAAGGCACAACACTACAATTCATCCCAGACCTTACGAGGAACTCTCTCTAGTGGCACTGGTCCTTGAAACCCCTCCTGTAATACTTGCATGCTGGAGAGGTCCCATACAGATGGGGGACCCCAATATTGCTCTTATTTACCAATCAAGGGACTACCAATAGGGCAAGAAGCTACAAAGAGTTGGAGAGAGTACTGAGTAAGCTGGGCTTCCTTGGGTCACTGAATACTGCTGTGGCCTCTGTAATCCCCCCTCCTTTATTCCTAGGCCTGACAACACATTTGCAACCACCTACTAGTATATAGGGGTGGGTACTGCCTCATAGGGATGCTGAATCTCTGCTGCATGTAACCTATGCTCCACCCTCCAGCCCAGGGAGGACTACTAATTGACTGCTAATTTCATTTAACCTCACTGTGTTTATACTTAGAAAACCCTCATTCTACACGTCCTCTTGTAGGAGATGCAAAACTGCTCCTTATTGTTTTCTGCCTATATCTTATCTAATGGATCATGTGATTATTGCATACATGTGGAATGAGCAAAAATAAAGAATAAAGAAAACAAACAAAAAAAAACAAACACTTTCTTAGCTTTCATTTTAATTTTAATTTTTAACTCATTGCCTTTTCCGGGCCTTGTCAAAAAAACAATACACAGACTGCTGACTAATATGCCCTAATTTATAGATCAAGCACCTAGATCAACGTCAAGGGATCGCTGGCTTGTCATAGAGAGAGAACCAACAAGGCTGCAATAATCCCTGATTTAAAGATTTGTTTCCAGCCTCGGCTTTTCACATTTACGATAGTCTCAGGATGAAGCAAGCATCAGGCCTGTAATGTTCCAATTCACAGTAAAATTAATGCCCACGTTCTCACGTTTATGATTGGCTTTCCTTATTACAGAATTAGTGTATGGCACAGAACAGATGATGAGCGATGAAGATGGGAGCATTAATATACCTATAAACCGCCAGGAAAAACTTCCTTTGCCCGACCTCACAAACTCATAAACAGAACAATTTGAAGTGCCTCGTTTGATATCTTGTTTTATGAGATCCCTGCACTCGACTCCCCGAAGGAACTGGCTGCTGCTTGACCCGACATCTTCACTATTAATATGTGGTAAAAATAGCCCCCAATTCCTTCTCTTATTTATAACAGAATATGTTAAATAATTAGGGGTTATTCATTAACAGCTAGTATAATGTAATGACTTGAGAAGCAATTCTGTTAAATGGGGAATTTTATCTGAAAATGTTATAGTATTAAAGCCATTTCTAACAGTTTAAAATACATTAATTACGTATAGTCCTTTCTAATTCTATATTCACCCCCTTCACCATGAGATTGTGCTTTATATCGATAACCACTTTACCCTCAATCTGTATAGAGACACAGATAATCCGTAGAGATTGGCTCACTGCCTCTATATTGTCTAATTTTAGCCAGGTAACAAACATTACCCTAATATCTTATTCTTTTTTTTTTCTGATTTTGTTATAATCTCTAATAATTTTAAAACTTGTCATTTTTTCTGCAAAGTTTGTTTGTACAATCTATGTGTAAACGAAGTATTTGACTGCAATGGCTGAATATGACCAGACCCAGAGAGAGAGGCATCCGTTCACATTAAAAGGAAGAGACGGTTTGTACAGTCCGAATGATAAAGATGTGGAATTATCTGTCATTGGATCAGATTCTGTAAAGATTGTTGATTAACGCCTCGATGCGTTTTTGGAAAAAACTAACGTTCAAGGATTTTTAAACTAATTCTTGGGATAACAGTGTGTTAATCCAAGTAGCGCTGTGGCTGCCAATGTTGAATTTAAGAAGGAGTTCTGTACCTCTTTAGGGTGCGTTTGGTGGATGCTTTGGATTGGATTTTTCACATTCCTTTGGCCAAATATAGGCAAGGTTTGAGTTTGACATTCTAGTTGGACGTTTTAGATATGACAGTGACCCCCAGCACTGCCAGCCAATTTGGCCAATTCAATGCTCCTTATAAAGCATGAATACCCAGATTGCAGTTGCTACAAGAAGGAAGTTTCTTAAAAAAAAATAAAAAATTGTTGACATGTCAGTAAGGGGGGAGAGTACACCATAAGATACAATTAGTTTTTTCTGGCATACAGTTATCATTAGTCTTTGCCGTACCGTAGATTTCATTTTTTTTCTAATTGCAACAAGAAACAAATGCTCCCCACTTGTCTCTACTGTTTCAATGCGTGTTGCATGTTGGCGATTGGGGGGTTTCTTGTTGTAATGATGGGGTTCGGAATTTACTGAGATTAGATGGCTGACAGAGAGCCAGATGTAAGTAGGTGGCCAGAGTTCAGTAGGCTGAGCAGGGCAAGAGAACTCATGGCAACTACAGAGGACAAGCATTGGTCGCAGCACACAATAAATAGGGGTCTGTATTCAGGGCCGGACTGGGAATTAAAAGCAGCCCTGGAAAAAAAATATTTACCAGCCCCATAATGCGTCGCGCCAGCATAGTGTGCAGATACAGAGTTAGAACAGATAACTTAAAGTTAAAAAGTACTTCAATGTAAAAAACGCACTCATAGGCTTCAAAATAAACAAAAGTGCAGATTTATTTTAAGCAGACGTGCCTTTGCATGTAATCAATGTTTCAGTCCAACTACCTTGACATATTAATGAAAGCTTGTTAATGGGACTGAAATGGTGAATGTATGTAGGGCACAACTGTAAAAAATGTTTATTTTGAAGTCCTGTGGGTGTGCTCTTCACTTTAAATATGTTATTGTGCTGGAGTATGCACCTAGCAACAAGACTGGGCAAATATCTGCTCATTACATATGGTACATATTAATGAAATTTCTCTGTGTATTATGCATTTATAAATGTACATTAATATGTGTAAATATAATAGGTATATATATATATATATATATAACTAATACACACATTAATATACATGTCATATACTAGTGGCGGATCCAGAGCCTGAGCCTGAGCCTGAGAGGGGCACTTGTAGATTGTTTAAAGAAATATTCCATGCACAATAACCACTACTCCTCTGTGTAGTGGTTATGGTGCCAGGAGCGTCGGCACCCCCTCCCAGAGTAAGTCGTCAAACCGTTTAAGAACAGTTTGACAACTTACCTGCTGGGATATGGGGCTGTAGTAGGGTATAGGTGCAGTGGTGCAATGTGTGTGAAAGGTTCAGTGTGTGGGTGGGCAGTGTGTAAATGTGTATGGTGTGTGTGTGGGGGCAGTGTGTGAATGTGTATGGTGTGTGTGGGGCAGTGTGTGTATGGGGCAAGAGTTCACTCCTACTACTGGGACCACCAGGAAGTGGTGAGAGTGAACTCTAGCCCATAGCTCCAGGGCTAGAGTTCACCCTCGTGAGAGCCGGAGCGTTGCCCCAGGTCCTCTCTTCCTCCCCTGCCGACTGGCTACACGGTGCCTGTGGAACGGGGAGGGAGATCGGCCACCAGTGATATATACTGCCCCTATGTGTGTCTCTTTATCTCCAGCCCCTCTGTATGCCTTTTTGTCTCCCCCAGTCACTCTGTATGCTCCTCTGTGTCAATGTCTCCCCTCTCCTTCCCAGTCTCTCTCTTCCCCCTCTGCCTCTTTCTTCCCCTCCCCTTGTGTGTCTCTCTCTCATTTCTCCCTCTTTGTCTCTCTCTTCCCCCTCTGCCTCTTTCACCCCTTTCCCTGTGTCTCTTCCTCCCCATCTCTCTCCCTCCCCCCTTTCCCTGTGTCTCTCCCCTCCTCCCCCCTTTCCCTGTGTCTCTCCCCCCTCCTCCCCATCTATCTCCCCCTCCTTTCCCTGTGTCTCACCCATCCCTTTCCTGTGTCTCTCCCTCCTCCCTCCCCCATCTCTCTCCCTCCCTCCCCCATCTCTCTCCCACCCTCCCCCTTTCCTGTGTCTCTCCCTCCTCCCTCTATTCCCTTTACCTGGAGAAGTCAGGGGGCCGGCCGCATTCCTGGCTGGAGCCGCCGGGCCGGGTGGCAGCTTCCCCAGTCCGGCGGCCCTGCCCCTGTCACTGCTGTGGCTGATGGAGGAGATGCATGTCTCTGTACCATCCATGCTCCCTCGCGGTTCCCGGCACAGAGACATGCTCCTCCTCCATCAGCCAGTCCGGCCCTGTCTGTATTGAAATATTAATATTCCCACACAGACCAGGCTGGAGCTTCCAGGGCTGCAATTATAGGTTTTGTGTTGTTGGCTACACAGCTGTGTGAATTAATTTCATTGTCTCGTTTTTATCTGTGTTGGTTCTAGAGTATACTGGTCGGATTATGTGGGGTATGCTGATATCAAACCCGCTGCATTTCTCTTATGGGAAGAAGAGAAAGCAGACTGGAATGGAAAACGCTACTCCATAGCAGTCACGTGCCGCTAGACTCCATTCTCAGGTCAGTCCTCTCATATCATCCGCCTCCAGCGAATAGCTCTGTTTGCATTCAGATATCTCCACTCACAGGCTGATTGCTGTGACCTGACGCATTGAGGATCGTACAAATTGAATATTATATTAACCCAGGCGCCCTCAACATTCTCTGAGTTTCAAATATAACAAACCTCTGGCTCGGAATAAAATGTGTTTAATTTTAAGGGCATTTCGATATTCTTTTATTTCAATCAAATGGCAAGTCTTGTAAAGAGCAAAGTACAGATGGACTGCGCTGAATAGTAAAACAGACCCCCCCCCCCCTCTCTCTCTCCGGACGCCTAACCTGTTGCTCTCTGGATACTGAAGTATAAAATATTTGCAACCATTTTGGACACATTCATTTAACTGTTTCACTGCAGATTATTACACAGCATAACATTAACACGGAATGTTCTGTATGTGTATCTATGTTATAATGTGAAAGGGAGCTGGTCTTAATATAATTAATATGAAACGTGTATGGTTGTAATATATATGTTTTGTTTTTTTAAATACATTGAAATACAGGGCCAAAGGTAACATAATAGATGCCATGCAATTAGATGATATCATTTTAAAAGAAGCAATCGCGGCAGGTAAGCGTCCGTAACCCCGCCAGGATACTTGCAGTTATTGAGTAACACGAAGAGGCTTAGTCTGAATCCTGCAAAAACAAGGAAAGTCACGTAATGGGAGCCAACAGCAGGAATATAATGAAGAGAGCAAAACACTGATAAAAAAAAAAAAAAAAGACGGAGAGGCCATGAATAAAATGGAGAGAGATTAAAAAAAATAAATAAAAATAAACCACTACATATTGAATACTTTAACCCCTTCATGTCACACTATGCTGTCCTTCAAAAACAGGGCTTTAATGCCATTAGGGCGGCATAGAACGCCTTAGTGATCGCACTCCCTTCCCTCCCCCCCCGGCCCACATGCTTACATTGCTCTGTGATTGCGGAGACTGCCTGGCAGCTAATAGGGCTCTTTGGGACCATGTGATCGCAATGGACTGCTTGCAGGGGGACTGTCTGGGTTGTCATGTAGTCCCTCAACATTGAAATACAGAAATAAATATATTAGTTAGTGCAAAATAATAAATATATACACAATCAGAATGCAAATATATGGAAATCCTCAGGATATAACCTTTACATTCCTCAACCAGAGAGAGAGTTGAGGAAAGCCTTCAAATATTGAGCATTATAACATGTTTTGTAATAAACTTTTTGCCCTCTTTTATTTATAGGCCTACCTGGATGTTCGTTTTGGCACACCACAACCGAATTGCCCACAAGTTTTAAGGCCATAGGCCTGCAATTGTAGGAAAGGTTTTCCCTATTTAAATTCCCCCTCTTACCTGGGCCGTTCTCTTCAGGTAATCCCCACCCACCTACCCCCTTTATTTTATTAGACTTAAATTCTTTTCTATATATTTTTTTTCTACCTTAGTGAGCCCTCTTTTATTTACAGGCCTACCCAAATGTCAGTTTTGGCACACCACAACCGACTGGACCCACTCTTAGTGTACATCACAGCTTTATGTTTCCTACCACAAAAATATATATATTATATTACATATATATATTTTTAGTGCATATTGATACAAGTATATATATGTATATATTAATATTAAATACACTTAGACAATAACAATTAAATTATATCTGTCTGTCCATCCATCTATCCAAAAATCTATCTAATAAAAAACCATAAATAAAAATATATATATTGATATCAAAAAACACCTTGAATGAAATTAAATCTCTAATTCAAAATTATAATTAATAATTTTGTAAAAAATAATACATTAATAAATATGTAGAATATAAATAGATGTACATGGATTTTCTCATCCTCCTGGGTGGTTTGTTTATTCCTCGTTCTCGGGTCCTCTACCAGAGGCCGGGGAGTTTGGTGGTTCTGCACAGTAGCTGTTCCTAGAACTGAACTCTTCTGGGCAGCGATCTCAGATCCTCACCCACCTGGAATCTGTTGAAGTCACTCCCTCAACTTGGAAGTCACAGCCCCGAGTCCTCCTATAACAACTGGTACTACTACTACCTTCGCTTTCCACATCCTTTCTATCTCGTCTTTCAGTCCTTCATATTTGACCGTCATCTCATGTCACTGCTTTCTGATGCTATAGTCACTTGGTATTGCCATATCCACCACAACTGTAGTCTTACGTTCCATGTCTACCATCACGCTGTCAAGATGGTTGGCTGTCTGGATCTGGAGGTCCCACAGGATCTCATCTCACTGCTCCTTCAAGCCTCTACCCACCAGAGGTGAATTTGAAAGTCATTTGATTCACCTCTTCAAACCCTTCTCTGCTAACATTGTCGTTATTTATTTCCCCCCTGGTTCCCCTCTCCTCTTCCTTGACCATTTTGCTGCCTGGCTACCCTACATCCTCTCTTCTAATATTCCATCCCTAGTTCTCAGGGACTTCAATATTCCCATTAACCCACTTTTGACCTCAGCAGCCGAACTACTTTCAATTGCTTCCTCCCTTGGGCTATCACAGTGAGCTAATTCTCCCACCCATGTAGCTGGCAATTACCTCAACCTAATTTTCTCTTATGCATGTACAGTATCTAATATCTGCAACACTCCATTTCCTCTATCTGATCACCACCTCTTATTGTTTGCTCTCAAGTACCCCTCACCCTACAACCTCAGCTTAACCACCCTCAACTCTTAATACTATTGACCTCCAGCAGCTGTCAGCTGATATTGAGTCACAACTGCTATCCATCCCTTCCCTCTCCTGTCCCTCACTGGCCATCACCACATATAACACTACCCTCACCTCTGTCTTGAACGCTGCAGCCCCGCTTCAAACATGTACCTTGAGGAGGACACGCCCCCAACCTTGGCATACTAAATCAACGAGCTACCTGCAAAGTTGCTCCCGTTGTACTGAACTCTCCTGGAGGAAGTCCCGCACCCAGGCACACTTTCTCCATTATAGATTCATATTACGTTCATACAGCGCAGCCATTGCCCTCGCCAAACAGTCATACTTTTCCTCTCTCGTTAGTTCATGCTGCCTCAATCCCAGGCGTCTCTTTGACACCCTCAACTCTCTTCTTCACCCTGCTGTGGCCCCCTCCCCCCCAAATTAACCTTACAGCCGATAGCTTTGCTTGCTACTTTACTGACAAGATTGAACAGCTAAGGAAAGAATTCTCCCCATCTTGTCGTTCTCTTTCTCAACCACACGTAGATCATGCCTTTCCTACCCTTCAGACTTTCTCCCCGGCTACTGAACAAGAGGTGGATGTGCTTTTCCTTTCCTGTCGCCTCACCACTTGTAACCAGAGGGCACACAGTTCTTGAGGTTTAAACACTGACTGACCATCTTTATTTTGAACACACAGCTGT